CTGAGCTAGCGAGGCAGGAGAGCACCTCCTTTCCTCCTTTTACCCATCCCTTGTTGCCTGAGTGGGAACCAGTATTTCACTGCTGCTCAGGGACACTTCCCCATGGATGTCACAGGCAAGGAGAATAATTTGAGCATCTCCATATAGAGGCTGGAAATATCTGAACTTACCACTCCAAAAATACCAATTCCAGAGCCGATTGTGGTCATGGTTGGGATGATGTCAAATTTGCCTGCCTGAATAAAATTAGAGAAAAGAAGTGATATGTTACAACCATCACAGGAAAAAAAAAAAAAAAAGGTGCCATAGCTGTAGGTGGGGCCCAGCTAAAGAGCCTTGCAGCAACCCAAACCACAACCACAGCACAGAGAGAAACAGGAGCTGGGTAAGAGCTGGGTTTAAGCTCATTGGTCAAACAGAAAAATATGGTAGGTTGGTTTTAGGCTGACACAAATGGAAATTACTTTGCTTCCTGTATTTTTAATTAAAAAAAAAAAAAGAAAATATACCCTTTAAATATTCCCAGTGGGAACACAAGGAAAGCCTTCTCTCCCCGTGGGAAGAAAAAGACAACATAGAAAAATGCAAATGTTCAGCTTTTGGAAATATTAGTGACTTTCCACAGTTCCTCTCCAACCCATCGTGATGTGTTTTGGGACAAAACCACTGACCCCAGGAAACCACTCACCTTGGTTTTCCTGGCCCCGGGAGACCCCGGTGCTGTGTCACAGAGCTGGTACCTGCCTGAGGACATGGCACTGTGGTCCCGGGGAGCCGGGGCCGAACCCAGCGCCTGGCCACCCTTACCTTGCCATTCACCAATATGTCGAACCGGATCCCAAACACCTTGTAGAGCGTCCTCTTGTCCGTCCCGTCTTCTTTGTAGTATTTGGCATATCTGTCCAATTGGATGGTGAGCATTAATGGCCTGCCAGGGTGTCTAACAGCCCCCTGCAGCCCAACGGCATCGGGATCTTGGTGGGAGCAGGACAGGGGTCTGGAGATGCACCATCACAGACCTGGTCCTGACCCTCTCCTTAATCCTCCCGAAGGAGCTGGGCTGTTGGCACCTTTCCCCTCTGTGCCTCAGTTTCCCTGCCTGCAAGTCAGAGCTAAAGCTCCTGCTTGTGCTGATACTTGGTGACCCCCAGTGCTACATGACAGCAGATATTAGTGCAGCACTAGCGGCAGCTTCAGACAGAGCAGCAGTCAGAGCAGCAGCTCATGCCTAAATGTCATGCGGTGGCTGAATGCTTTGAAGTGTGGGAACATGTGAGATGACCTTGCAGCATTTCTAGTCCTTCAAAGGGCTTCCCGAGAGCTCAGCTGAGCAGGAGAGTCTGCAAGGGTGAGGAGATGTACAGGGAAAGGCAATGGGGTAATTTTGAGGCCAAGGGATGGGTTATCACTTTTCTCATGCATTCTAAAGAGAGCACTGCTGTCTGGCACTGCAAAGGTAGTGAGTATTTTAGAGAACAGTCCCTGATCTTCCACCATCCCTTGAGTGCTGTGGGATCCTGAAAGGCGTCACCTCTGAATTCTGCCTGCAGAGTTAACAGGGGTTTCCTTACCTGAAGTTGAAGCCTGGTGAAACATTACTGTCATCGTTGTAAAGGCCGTGGAACTGGTAAATGGGTTTGCAGTACCGGACGGGCCAGTCGAGGTCACAGTTCCAGTCTATGGTGATGCCCACCACTCCACCCTGCAGCCAAGAGAGGAGTCACAAGGTTGCCCCACTTGGCACAACCTCCTTGGACCTAGCCTGCATAGAGAAACTCCTTCTCTCCTCATATGTGACCTTTCTCGATGCTACGAGGTGCCCTGGCTCTCCAGGGTACACGGTCCCCGTTGCTGTCTCAGCCCTCCCGGGCAGCCCTGGCTTCGTGCCCTGTACATCACCCTATGCAGAGGTGCTTGCTTCTGCCCTAAATGCTGGATACGCAACTAAATTCATGCCCTCTTGTTCCCGGTCAGCATCCCATACCCAAGGCATGGTCTTGAGAAACAGTGCCCACTGCAGATCCCCCACGGTCCCAGTGGGACAAATCCTTGCCTGATTTTACCGATAAGATTTGCCTGCCCTGTGGCTTAACCCTGCCATCAAACCATTAACGTCACAGGGAAAATCAAAAGCAATTTAACAAGGTGATAGAGAAGAGTGAAACGAACCCATGAAAATCAAAAGAAAACCTCCTCTAAGAGGTTTTCTGCTAGGAAATGAAGCAGTCCCTCTTGAGCTCGGTCCAGGTTGTAACTAGCTGTGCCCCAGAGGCTCATCTTTTTGCACCTTTAATACATGCAAGCCTCTGATTTCATTTAATGCCTGGCAAAGTTAGCTTAAGGCTCTGCAGTGCAGAAATAGCAGATACTCTTGCACACCATCCTGAGAAGCGTTGGGCAAAGCTGCATTTCCGAGCCTGGGGAGAGGCTGCAGTTTGCATTGTGCGATGACCAGTATTTGACCATCCAGCCAAGGTTTCCAAGCTCAGTCGGATGGAATTTGGCCATGCAGCTCTAGTCATTCGTTGCACAAATTAGAACAAACTGAACCCTGGATTTATTGCCAGCGGGTCAAATCTTGTCAATTTTACAGGGGAGTTTCCAAGAAAGGCTTAAATATTAGGCCATGCCCAAGGAGATTCATAATCTTTAAGAGCTAATTCTGACACTGCCTCGCGAGTCCTTGAGAAAACAGATCCCTCATGTCTCAACAGCTTGGGGATGATTGCTCTGTTGGTGTCCCCCTCGCCATGTCAGCAAGAAACATCCCTTGAAATTGAAGTACCTTAATAGCCAGGAAGGTAAAATTCTGACCCGATTCCTTCACAATGTATCCCAGGTCAAACACGGGGCATAAGGAATCGGAGACTTTGTGATAAGTGCATTTCTTCAGGTACTGTTTGGTAATACCCTCAACCAAGTTTCGCCTGTGA